AGCAGGGCACCAATTGTCCCATAGAATCTCTGCGTATTCTCCATGCTCCTCAGTTCTCTGAGAACTGGGGCTTAGAATCACCTGTCATCCAGCTCAGAAAGTGTTCCTGGGCAGTGATACACGGCCTCATGGGAGCAGATGGATCAGTCTTGAGGCCTCTCCTGATCCATAATTACCTAACCAATATTCCAGGAACCAGCAGCCTCAAGTGACTTCAAGGGCCCTCGGACACTTCCTCTCCAAGGAACCTCTCTTGGGACCCTCAAAGTTCCCTCCTTCTAATTTTCTGCCCCACCTCCTCTTCATGGGACAAAGGGACAAGATCAGAAACCGGCAGTTACTTCAGGAAGTCCTTGCTCCAGGACCTGCCCGCTCCCTACAGCATCCCCACACGGGATGTAAATTTGCCAGTGAATTGTTGAGCAAAGTGTGGGCTTGACCCTTTTCTCCAGAAGTCAGGGTCATAGATCTGACAGGTTGGACTATAGATCAATCTCACCACTAAGTGACAAAGTGCAGCAATTGCATTCCGCGGCGCTTGCCCTCCACGAATACGTGCAAGTACCAACTCCTGTTAACCTGCCCTGGCAGCATCCTACTGGGCCAGAAACACCCTCTTGAGTCATTAGATGTAATCTAGCCCCCAACCGTTTACAACAGAAAAAGGTTTTCTTGTTGAGACAAGGTCTTTCTATAGCCCTGGCTGTCCTGGAACTCTCTATGTGGATCAGGCCGGCCTTAAACTCACAGAGATCTATCTGACTGCCTCTGCCTTCCGAGTGCTGGGATTCAAGATGCACAGCTGCTTGGTTAGCCTGGCTTAGTGAGGCTTGGCCCAGTATAGAAATAAGGACGACGACAGCAGCCACAATGAAGCCCTTCATAAAGTGCTTACAGCAGTGCTTCTCAACCTTGCTAATGCTGAGACCCTTCCATACGGTTTCTCACGACGTGGTGACTCCCGACCATAAGATGATTTTGTTGTGACTTCGTAACTGTAATTTTGCTACTGTTACGAACTGCAATGTAAGTATCTGATATTCAGAATATCTGCTATGTGACCCCCCCCAAAGGGCTTAGGACCCACTTGTTGAGAACCACTGGCGTCCAAGGTATCACACTCACTATTTTAAGCATTCCATTTGATCTTCATATACTCAGCTGGGCGGTGGTGGCGCACACCTTTAATCCCAGCACTTGGGAGGCAGAGGGAGGCGGATCTCTGTGAGTTTGAGGCCAGCCTGGTCTACAAGAGCTAGTTCCAGGACAGGCTCCAAAGCCACAGAGAAAGCCTGTCTTGAAAAACCAAAAAAAAAAACCCAAAACAAAACAAAAAACCACCTCATATACTGATGCCAACCCAATGACGTAGGTATTGTGTGTGGATGTGTATGTGTGTGTGTGTGTGTGTGTGTGTGTGTGCGCGCACGCACGTGTGCATGCATGTGGAAGAAGAGTATATATTCACCCATGCGCACATGTGTGGAAGCCAGAAGTCAACATCTGGGATTTTCCTCTATAGCCTTCTACCTTTTGTTTTGTTTTTTGAGACAGAGTTTCTCTGTGTAGCCCTGGTAGTCATGGAACTTGCTCTGTAGACCAAGCTGGCCTTGAACTCAGAGATTCACCACCTACCTCTGCCTCCTGTCCCTTCCCCTCTCCCCCCTCTTCAGCTAGGTTAATCTTGAACAATCCTTCTGCCTCAGTCTCCTAAGTGCTGGGATAACAGGCTTGCACCAGCATGCCAGTTACTGGGAATCAAACTCGAGGCTTTACGCACTCTACCAAGGGAACAATATCCGTATCTCCTCCGGAACCTGTGTATATATTCTACTTCTTTACTTCCAGGAAGGTCAGGGGACCCAGGTCTCTGGGGGAGTACCCAGAGGCAGCCTTGCATGGATGCAGAGAGGCACAGAGCAACACAGAGAATTTACACTCATTTGCCCTTCCCTGAGAGCCTGAGCTAGACCCAGAAGGGTACTGCTGGCTCGAAGGAAAGTCCCACCACTGGACGGCTAGCTACCTGCCTACTAGGGAGAAGTTCTTTCTCCCATGGGAAGATGGTGCCTGTGAATAAGTGGCCCAGGTTTATGCTCCAGTCTTCTGAGGCTGACAGGGGTGGTGAGGTTTCCAGAGCTGGGCTCTGGGCCTGGTGGTTGTGGATATGAGGAGGTGGAAAGAGGGATGTCTAAAGGGGTTAATGGAGTCACATGGCCAGGACTATAGTAGGTACCTGAAGGGTAACAACCAAGTCTGTCATCAGATTTATAAAATCAAGTCCTAGCTTCTCTTCGTTTGGTCTTCGGTTTGTCTATAGAACGGAGGTGATAAGAACACCCTGGTTAGTGTTGGGAGAAGTGAAGTAGACTATTTAAAGCAAAGCCCGCAGCACAGCGCTCACCCCATGCATGGCGGGTGTGCGGTACTTGGGAACTGTTGTGTCCGAGCTGCTCTGACTCAGCTCATGCTGAATGAGTGTCTCTAGTGCTGCGTTACCGGGCTCTGTCCTGACCAACACGGACAGAACTGAAGTTGTAAGGGCAAGCTGGACCTACATTTAGAGTGGAAGAAAACCGTGGGCCACAGAGCCGGAGTCCAAAACAATTTATGCAGGCTGAAATAAGCAAGATGACATTCTTTCGCCGAGAGCTGGGCAGCATTATGGGAAGTAGAGGACGGTGAAGCAACTCGACTTGACCCCAGGCTCTGGTGCAAAGGGTCTGAATGATTTAGTTAACCATAACCTGATGGGACCTAGTCATGGGAGAGAAGGCTCTGAAGCCTAGCAGTCTTAGGCTGCATTAACAATGTGTCATGTCCAGACTGGGGGAAATAATGGGCCTATTGTGCTGGCTTGGTCAGGCCATATCTGGAATCTTGCGCTGCTACACTGACAGACTGGAATCAGGCCAGGAGGGGACCAGTCCAGCCTCAGCTCCCAAGCTCTTGCGCTAAATTCTTCCTGTACAGTTTCTTGTCATAGCCCCCAACAACCCTCTTAGGTAGGTTCGTACTTTGTACACAGGGAGGTGAACAGAATTGCCCAGGGTCAGCTGTATAACCGGTGCACGGAGATGCTGTGGCTTTTCTGAATGGGCTCCTCTGCTCTTTGCACATTCACTCCCTGGAGTTTAGTGGGATGTGGAAGTCAAAGAGATAGAGTTTTTATTTGCAAGGAGGGCATGCTCTGGCCTGGTGATTCAGATCGTTTATGGAATGCTGTGATTCAAGGGAGGGAAGAATTTAGGGCTGGGAGGGATCAGAGAGATCCCTTAGCCAAATCAAGACTAGGGCGGGGAAGAGAGACAGGGTAGTGTCTCAGGGCTCACAGTGAGGACGTGAAACCCCATCTGTGTCTTCTTATGGGACAGGATAGTGTCACAGTAGGGACATAGAGCCCTACCCATGCCTTCTTATAGGACAGGGTAGTGACACATAGCTCACAGTGGGGACATGGGCTGGACTGTGGTGGCACATGCCTTTACTCCCAGCACTTGGGAGGCAGTGGCAGGTAGATCTCTGTGAGTTCGAGGCCAGCCTGGTCTACAAGAGCTAGTTCCAGGATAGGCACCAAAGCTGCAGAGAAACTCTGTCTCAAAAAACAAACAAACAAACAAACAAACGACACACACACACACAAACAAAAAACAGTGGGGACATAGAACCCTGTCCATGCTTTCTGATGGGACAGGGTAGTGGCACACAGCTCACAGCAGGGACACAAAACCCCATCCGCGCCTTCTTATGGGACAGGTTAGTGACACACAGCTCGCAGTGGGGACACAAAGCCCCATCCACGCCTTCTGAGGGTCTTCACTGTTTCACTGTTTCTGTACAGTGATGTGCCCAGATGGGATTGGTCAGGACACACCAGGGAGTGTGCTGTGGTCATCGAGGGGGAGTCAGATCTCAATATCTCTTCCCTGCAATTTGAATTAAAAGAAAAAAAAAGGAGCCCAGCATGGAGAAACACAGGTCCTGTGTAAGCGGCCTCTGAGAATCTCAGCAGTAACTTCACTGATGAGGGAGAGCTGGACTTCACCCAGGCTGCTGGGGATCTGGGAAGCCTGGGGTGACGTTAGCAGAGGTGGAAGAAAAGGCTGTTCTTTGCTGGCAGCTATGCCTGGCCTGTTTAGATGAAGGTCCTCCTTTCTTTCAAGGACCACATTCCTCTGTATTCTCTTTCTCAGAGCTTTCCTTTTTTTTTTTTTTTTTTTTTGACACAGAGGGCTGTTGGAGTCTTGTATCTCCCAGGGCTTCCTGTCTGGGAGCACATACACCAGTTCAGCCTTCTGTAATTTATACTGAGGAGCAGAACAGGAGAGTCCGGACAAAACCTTCCTGGCCTGTACACTCTGTCATAACAGCTGCTGTTCTTCTCTGTGTCCCCCTTTCCTCGGCTGTAAAAGGGGGATAATAATAGTACCACCCTCAGATGGAGTTCAGGAGCACCCAATAAAATCGTGTCAAGACTCTTAGAAGCTAGCCATAAAAGGCTGCTGTGGCCCTGACTTCTTAGAACTTGATAGCTTCCCTACTGGAAAGGGCAGTCACTGAGCTGGCAAATTTTCCTGTCCCATTGAAAAAGGTTCCCTAAATATCACAGGCAAAGAGAAGGAATGACCGATCTTGAGACATAGAGAGGGACATTGATAGTGAAAGTTACAGCCTATGACTTCAGGTTTGGGGGAAGGGAGAAGCCACCTGACTCCAGCTTGTTAAAGGGGGCATCGGGGTTCAAAAGTCATGGGCTAGCAGGCTCGACTCGGGGAGAACTCACTCTGGGGGCCTCGGGCAGGTCACTTTCAGCCTTGGGGTTCAGTTTCCTCGGGCGAGTCAGGTGGGGTGTCTCAGCCTTGCTTAGATGGTTAGGAGCACGCGTTGCGGATGCTGGCTTTGAGAACGTGGCTGAGCAGCTAGGCTCCGTCAGACGAGTAGGGCAGGCTCGTGCGCGGATTGGCTGGAGGCTCAGGACCAAACCTTTAAGAGGCGCGGAGGGGGCATGCCAGTTTTCCTTGCCGGCGTTCCCGGTTTGTTCAGTGCTGGTGAGCGTACTGGTAGCTGCGGCTGCGTCTACAACGGGGAGTCCCAGGCGAGTGCGGGCCGGCAGAACACAGGAGCATCCCGGCGTCCCGGTTCCAGACGGCGTGGCCCGCGGGTCATGGCCAAAGGAGAGGGCGCCGAGAGCGGTTCCGCGGCGGGACTGCTCCCCACCGGCATCCTCCAAGCCAGTGAACGGCCGGTCCAGGTGAAGGTGAGGTCCCGAGAGGAGGGTAAAGGGTGGTGGGCAGACGGAGAGGTGGGCGCAAGGAGCATCTGAGGTTAGGCTTGGTCTTTGGGACACTGAGAGGAGAGGGTGAACCAGGGTACAGTGAGACTTGGAAAAAGAAGAAAGTCCAAGGGGTTCAAGGAAATCCCCAAAATTTGAGAGTCCCCTTCGTTCTCGATCTCTTCACCCACCCCCGCCGCCCCCTCTACTCTCACGTTTTAACTCTGAGAAGGGCCACTCAAGTTCATTCATAAGAACAAGGGCTCTGCTCTTAAAGGAGCCGCATACCGAAAGCGTTTGTGTGCCTCTAAGCGTTCAACACGCACAGCGTTCAGGGGTCCTAGCTCTGTGGATCTATTTAACCACCCCGGTGGAAACCATGCGGCCCCAGGAAAGGGATCGCTGACAATAGATCTCCTTGGGAGGTGCTTAACTTTTCCTTTTAATTTTATTAACTGATCTTGGAAGGAGCCAGTGAGCAATTATGCTGTTACCACATATGAGTAATCTCTACTTTCCCCAGGCAACCTCAGCCTCCCCTAGTGTTCTGCCTGGAGAAGGCAGAGCCCTGCACCTGGAGCCCTTTTCACCCCTCTCCAAGGTCCCCTAGGAGCTGGAATGGGTTTGTGTCAGGGAGCCGGAGGTAGGACTGCTCAAGGGTTTGCCTGGAGCTAAAGACTGTCTGCAGGGACCCGGGAACTTTGGGACAGATGGAAGGAACAGCTGTGGCTGCAGTGGCCCGGTTGGGGCCTCCCCGCAGCCTTGGTGTCCTCACCCAGTAGGCAGGTGGATTCTTGCGGGGCGTCGGGGAGGGAGCCTGGGCTAGGCTCAGGCTGCTTTTGGCAGCAAGAGGATTTTCAGGTTGTGGCAGCTAGTGCGGGGTGGGAACCGGTCCACTGCTTCAACATGCTCTCTCTGAGTAACTTGGAAGGGAGCAACGACTGAGGGACCAGGAGATTTTCGTATTTGTTTGTTTGTTTGAGACAGGTTTTCTATATGTAGTCCTGACTGTCTAGGAACTCGCTCCTTAGACAGGCTGCCCTTAAACTCAGAGACCTACCTGTCTGGCTCTGCCTCCGGAGTGTTGGGATTCAATGTGTGTGACAACACACCTGGCCGGGAAGAAGATCCTTAAAGATGGAGGGTGATAGTTTTTCTCAGGGTCTAGGTGGGAGGGGGAGAGTCTGTATTTAAGTGTAACTTCCTCTGGGGTAGGGGAAGTGGGATTTCCCAAGGTGGAGCCGCTGCTCCTGGCCCAGTTGACTGGAGAAAGGGCTGTGCTTCTGGCACCTTCTAGGTTGGAGGCCAGAATCCTGAGCATATTTTCAGTCTTTCCTTCTCTCCCCAGAAGGAACCAAAGAAGAAGCAGCAATTGTCCATTTGCAACAAGCTCTGTTATGCAGTTGGAGGGGCCCCGTACCAGCTGACAGGCTGCGCCCTGGGGTTCTTCCTGCAGATCTACCTGCTGGATGTGGCTAAGGTGAGTATCCTGAGCGCCTAGGCACCTCCAATCTGCAGAGGTAGGAAGTGGTAGGCTCCTGTTGGTAGGGTCACCCACTTTTCTCCGTTGGTAAAACAGGACCAGATCGTGTTCCTTGGCTGCCACTCAGGGCCACAGTGGATGAGAAAGAAGGCTTTAGGAAGTGTCCAGGAAGGGGAGTCTCTCTGCCCCGGGAGCCACAGCTGGCAACTTGTCCTGGCCTGGCAGGAGCAAGAGAGCCTGGAGGACTAAGCAGCGGCTGTGAGGGAGAATGGGACCCGTTGGTGACGCTGTTCTTAGAAGAGACTGGCACACCATGTCCCTGGCTGGAAGACAGTCAGCTGGCTTGGCTCGGGGTTTTAGTGGACGTTGCCAGGCTCTGGGAAGAACTGTATCCCACCTTCACCTGAGAAGTGGCAGCGGAGTGGTGGGTAGGGAAACCTGAAGGTGTGGGCATATGTAATGTGCCCCAGTACTTCAGGTCTCATCTGAAGAAGCAGGGCTACTGTGTGTATTTGAGAAGCCTTGGCCAGCAGCCTGGCATCCAAAGAATTCACCCTGTCTGGATGAGAGAGTGGGAGACTGAGTAACCATGGCTCCAGGGTGCCCTCACTGGCTCTTTTCTGTGTAGCATCCCTGGGCAAGCGAGGCACATTGGTGCATATTCGTTTCCGTTTGCAGGTGTGGGACACTGAGCCCCAGAAAGGACAGAAGACCCATTCAGTAGCTGGATTTCAAATAGTTCCCATGGCTGGGCTCTTCGGGGTTATAAATAAGAGGAACCTGCAGTTGAGCATAAAGTGGGGTTAGAGTAAGTGGGGTGAGTGTAGGGTGGGGGGACAGTTCGGGAAGGCTGCCAGCTTTCCAGAGCAGGGCTATAACAACTGGACATGGTGGTACATGCCTGTTACCCCAGCAGTTAGGAGGCCAAGACAGGAGGATCGGGATTTCAGAACCAGCGCAGGACCCTGTCTCAAAAACAAAGAAAAAGTCAGTCAATCAATCAAGGTTTTATGGATGAGGTTGAAACTGGAAATTCTATATTTAGAACCTAGAGTGTTTGGAGGTGACCAGTCACTTTTAAAAAGCATCTGTAGGGTAGGCATAGTGATGCACATCAGCAATCCCAGCACTGGAAAGGGACAGCCAAGAGGAGGATCCTTACAAGTGAGAGCCCAGCCAGGTCTACTTACCAGGTTCTAGACTAGTCAGGACTATAAAGAAGACTGTCCCTCTTACACACACACACACACACACACACACACACACACACACACACACACCACACGCACGCACACAACATACACACGCATGCACGCGCGCACACGGTGTCACGGTGGGGAACGTCACTGGAGAGACTGCTCAGTGGTTAAGGGCTTACTGCTTTTTTCAGAGGATCATGCCAGGCCACTCACAGCCACAACTACCTATAACTCCAGCTCTAGGGGATCCAACGCCTCTGGCCTCCTGTATTCCTTCAAAAGCACCCCCTTACACACACACACAATCACATAATTTGAAATAATAAAATGAATTCTAAAGAAGAAGATGGGAGAAAGCACCTATTGATTCCTTTTACCATACCCAGTATAAAACCTGACCTCATAAAACATACTACAACCCATAACTCTTATACAGATGAGGCTCACTGTGATTGACCAGTTAGCCTGTCATACTAGCTCTGTCATCGGGTGGTCAGGGGCTCAGAACTATGAGAAGGAAGGAGGGAAATGATTCTGTGTTCATTCTGTTAGGTGAGTTGTTTTTTTTTTTAATGTGCATGGGTATTTTGGCTGGATGAATGTCTGTGTACCACTTCTGGGTACCATGTGTGTTCAGTGCCCATGAGGCCAGAAGAAGGTGCCAGATGATCCCCTTAGAACTGGAGTTATGGACAGTCATTAGCTGTCTTGCAGGTGCTGGAAACTGAACCGTGGTCCCCTGGAAGAGCAGTCCATGCTCTTAACCACTGAGCCATCTCTGCAGCCCTGACAAGATGTTTTTAAGTGCATCAGAAGGAAGGAAAGATCCAGAAATGCTTCAAACAGTCCTACTTTGATAATACAGTTACCAGAGAAATGCTGTTGTCAATGTCATCATTTTTACTAGTTATTATTATTACTATTATTTTGCTTTGGGGAGACTGGGTCTCTCTATGTAGATTGTCCTGGAACTCACTCTGTAGACCAGGCTGGCTTTGAACTCACAGAGATCTGCTTGCCTCTGTCCACTGGATTCTGGAATTAAAGCCGTGCGCCACCATGCCCAGCTGCTGTTGTCATTGTTTTTTACAATGTGGGGGAATTGAACCCAACACCTCATCCATTCTAGGCAAGCAATCATGCTACCACTGAGCTAAACTTCCGGATCCGCTACTGTCACTATTAAGAACGTGAGTGAAACTGGGTGGTGGTGGCACACGCCTTTGATCCCAGCACTCGGAAGGCAGAGGCAGGTGGATCTCTAAGTTCAAGACTAGCCTGGAGTACAGAGCAAGTTCCAGGACAGCCAGGGCTGCACAGAGAAACCCCATCTCGAACAGAGAAAGAGCTGAGTGGAAAAGTTAAAGAATGCAGGGGGAGCAGGCCTTGAAGGCCTGGCTGCGGCACTGAGGGAAGCCCCACTGAGGGCTGAGGTGAATGACGTCTTCTTCCGCCTCTTCCCTGTGGCAGGTGGACCCACTCCCTGCTTCCATTATCCTTTTCGTGGGCCGAGCCTGGGATGCCTTCACTGATCCTCTGGTGGGCTTCTGCATCAGCAAGTCCTCCTGGACCCGCCTGGGCCGCCTCATGCCCTGGTAAGTAGAGACGCTCCTACCACGTGCTGAAGGCCAGGCTTCGCTGTCTCTGGCCCTAGGTCCTGTCTCTTGTCACACAGGCTGGGACCTGAGGGGAAGGAACGACACAAAAGCTCGAAGGTGTTGAAAGCCCAGGCTGAGGCCTTCACGGCCCCAGAGGTGGTCACTGGGACACCCAGCCAGTTATTTTGGTTATTTTGGTGGTTATTTCTCCCACTCGGCACCTCTATAGCGGCAGAAGTAGGTCTTCAGAACGGTCGGGAGCTTGCCTGGGTTTGAATGGCCGCTTCACGACCAACAGCTGTGCTGTCACGAGCAAGTTACTTAACCTCTCTGAACCTTAGGTAAAACGGAGGTATAGTGGGGATTTTAATACGGAAAGCACTCAGGAGAGTGTCGGGCAGGCGTTGATATACGAGTTGACATTTCTCTAGGGTGGTTAATGGTAGGACATGGGTAGGGGCCATTCTGAGAATGGAATCGTGGAGCCATCATTTCCAGTGCCTTCAGTGGAGGAGCTGTTTCTTCCCTTGGAGATATTCAGATTCAGCCTGTGGGGCAAGTTGTGGGAGGCAGTTACCATAGATCAGACAGCGGTGGAGACGCACAAGACAGGCCAAGCCGGGGCTCTGGTTCCCTCCAGGACATCCTGCTTCAGGGGGTGGGGGGGTGTACCCCTTTCATCTCCAGCCCATCCAAGCTTAAGTGGGCGCCTTCCTGCCCCAGGGGCGCCCATACCTGGTCTCCGGCCTTCAAAGCTCTTCCAGCAGCTTCTGCACCTCCACAGTTTCCTTTCCCACGAGGCCCCCCACCCACCCCAATCCTGCCAGCCCCTGGCAGAAGCCCAGTTTGGAGTCTTTGATCCAGGCCTCATGGCCAAGGGGCTGGAGGGGAGGGCAGGAGAGCCTCCTTTACCTGGGCAAATTGCTCAGGGAGTCCTGAGCGCCAGCCTGTGAGACTTGGCCCCATGCCGGCCTCCTGGCAGCTGGTGGAGGGCGGGGCCCTGCTCCCACATCGCCTCATGAAGCCCAGCCAATAGGAGGCCGCTGTCTGGTGCGCTGCCGCACAGGGTCACTCGCAGTCAAATCGGGTTCCTAGGCGGGCATTGCTGTTCAGCTGTCTGCCTAAGAGGATGGAGTGTATGGGGAAGGCTGAGGAGACGATGTGACTGACGGGGTGGAAGGAGGAGGAGGGCCGGCAAGGCCTCCCTGTGAGAGGGAGACCTGAGGACTTTTGCTTGGTCAGTTGTGACAGCTACTCCAGGAAAGTCGCTGGGGACCCCTTAGGCTGCTCTCTGACTGGCAAGTGCCTGGGTGTGTGTCAGAAACGCATGGGGTGGCTCATAGGCTGAAGGGCCGTTGTATTCTTCCCAGGTTGCATCTGCTCAGGCCCAGAGACGGTAAAGGCAGGATCTGAGCCTGTTGGTTAGTGTTAGCCCTAGCTGGGTCTCCTCCCAGGCGTTAGGGCAGTTCCTACTCCAAAACCCCTCCTGCAAACCACCAACGGACTGACATTCCCTTTCCCAGAACTTCCTAAGGCCACCTGTGAGACCCTGTCAGCTGAGTCACACTGAGAGACGAGATGGAGTGATTACCAGGCATTGCCCACTTGTGGCCCTGGCCTGTAGTGGTTTCCCGAAGGCCACTTCTCCTGTTGAGCCCTCCTGAAATGATCATGGCAAACACTTAATGCCCCAAGTACTGTTCAACATTTTTTCTGTCAACTTACTTAAGACTTGAGCCTACTTCAACCCACAGAGTTGAAGTCCTCACATTTGCCTGTGAGGTGTCCCCTTTTTCTCCACATTATCTCCTAATTCCATCTTCCTCGCTTCCTGCCCTCCAGCCCACGGGTCCTGCCTAAGGACCTTTGTACTGACTGTTCCCTGCCTGGGCCCACACTTGCCTCAGAGATCTGCAATGCAGACTCCCTGATCACATCCACGCCTTCTCAGTTACTGCCCTCTCAGCCAGCTGTGAACTGCACCCCAAGCCTCGTGCCTGCTTAACCTGCTGTAGCCTGCGTTAGCTTTAGCCTGCTTAGCCTACTGTAGCCTGCGTTAGCTGTAGCCTGCAGTAGCCTGCTTTCTTTTCTCCATATCTTTTGCCACCCTTTAATATGTTATCTAACTGTATAAAGACTATGAAAAAAACCTAAAGCTTAGCATTTACCCTATTTATGGATTTATTTGTGGTAGAACTCAACTGCAGGGCCTGGCACATGCCAGGGAAGCGTTCTACAGCCTTGATCTTCGTTTGATTTTGTTCTTTGAAGACTAAGTTTTCTGTAGCCCAGGCTGGCCTCCAAGCCCTGATTCTTCACCCCTTAAATGCTCAGATCACAGTCATGTGCCGTCACCTCCAACTCAACCCTTGTTTAGTTCGCTTTGTTTTTGAGACAGGGTCTCACTATGTAGCCCTAGCTGCCCCCTACACTTGTTATGTAGACCAGGTAGCCCTCAAACTCACAGAAATCCACCTGCTTCTGCCTGCCTCTTGAGAGCAGAGGCAGGGGATTCCCTGAATTTGAGACCAGCCTGGTCTACATGATCACATAGAGAGATCCTGTGTCAGAAAAATGAAAAAGCAAAATGAAACATATATGTGTGTATGTGTATGTGTGAGACTATATACACCAAATACACACACACACACACACACACACACACACAATACTATATGAGTGTTTTGTTTGCATGCACACCTGTGCCTGGTACCTGAGGTCCGAAGAGAACACTGGGTCTCTGAAAACTGGAGTCATGAATGGTTGTGAGCTACCATGTGGGTGCTGAAAATTTAATCTAGGTCTTATTTAAAATTTAATCTTAGGAGCAAGAACAAGTGCTCCTAATTGCTGAGCCATCCCTCTAGCCCCTGTGCCCTTGATTTTTTTTTTAAGAGATCTCACCATGTGTCCCAGGTTGACTTTGAACTCATGATCTTTTTGCTTCTGTCTCTTGAATGTGGGGACTACAGTCCTGTAACACCATGCCCAGCTTTATTTTTCTTTTTCAAGACAGGTTTTCTCTGTGCAGCCCTGGCTATCCTGGAACTCTCTCTATAGACCAGACTGGCCTCAAACTCATAGAGATCCACCTGCCTCTGCCTTTCCAGTGCTGGGATTAAAGTCGTGAGGCATCACTACTTGGCTCTTTTAAGGTGTCCAATAAAGTAGCATTAAGAATGTTCACATCCTTGTGTGACCATCACTGCCTTCCGTCCCATTATTTTTTGTTGTTGCTCTTTTTCTGCATAGCCCTGGATGTCCTGGAGTTCACTTTGTAGACCAGGCTGGTCTCGAACTCACAGAGATCTGCCTGTCTCTGCCTCCTGAGCTCTAGGATTAAAGGTGTGCACCACCACTGCCAAGCGTAGCCCAATACTTTTTCTTCTTTCAAACCAAAACTTGGAGTTCATCAAAAAATAATCCCCGTGTTACCCTCCCTCTGTCAAACCCTCCCTTCTTCTTCTTTTTTTTTTTTTTTTTTTTATTCAAGGAGGATATGGGGGGTGGGGATGGTCAGGGGACAGTTTTCAGGAGTCGATTCTTTCTACCATATGAGTTCCGTGAATTGAACTTGGGTCATTAGGCGCAGTAAGTACCCTTAGCAGCTGATGTATCTTGCAGGATGAATATGAAACTATGGATTTGGTAACTCCCCTATAAGTTAAACTGTACAATACTTGTTTTTTTAGAGACAATCCTATTTCATTTGGCCTATGAAGGCCAAGGTTCTGTGTTGTAGCATGTGTCAAGATTTTTGTTTTTAAGGCTGAATATATCGTTTATGTTGTTCACCAGCTAGAGTGAGTTCTGCGGGATCAATGCACTCTTTTTCTTCATGGACACATCTTCAACAGGCGGAATAGTTCCTAGCACATCTGGAGCTTCATAAATACTTGGGCAAATGTTGAATGTAGACAGTGTACTATTTCTTGTTTTCTTTTGATATATGAGGAAGTGACTCTCAGAGAAGTTAAGTAACTTGCCCAAGACTAAGTTTTTATAGTGACAGACTCAGAAATGGATCCCAGAAGTATATGCAACACAGGACTTTCCTCTTTTTAAAAATATTTAGTGTGTTTGTGTGTGTGTGTGCCTACATGTGCACATGCCATGGTACATGTGGAGGCCAGAAGACAACTTGTATTTCCCTTCCACCATGCATGCTCCAGGGGAAAATATCAGGTTGTTAGGCCTGGCAACAAGCGCTTTTACCCACTGAGCTGGTCTGAGGCCTTTTTCCTTTTAACCTTTGTACTCTCCTTCTTCTGCTGATGCTGTGAAATTGGTCTAGCCTGAGGTATTAATAACCTCTCATGATGAGGTGAACTCACATGTGGGCCAGACATTTGTCCCCACCCTCGTTATAGTTCTGTGACTGGGTCCAATCCTCCTGCGTGGCCCCTCTCTCCTACCTCACCGGAAGTTGGCCTCTTCCACCCACTCTACCTTCCCCGTGTGGGTACAAATGAAGCATGGAGGGTAGGGGATGGGTGCTCGGCCTGTCCCCTTCACTGGGACTCTCGCATCAGGAAAGAGATGCCTCATGCTCCTTGCTCTCTGACCCCTTCAAGCTCCTTGCTCAAGATTTTGGTTCAGGAACTTGGCCCCACTCAAGTCCTTCAGGCAAGGCCCTCAGTCTCTTCCCCTGAGGCTCTGGGTTGGGAGGGTTCCGAGTAGAAATTTCCTTCTCCGTTGATTGGCACCTGTGGAGCAGATTTGAGCGCTTAGAATTCTCCAGCCTCCACTCAGACCCTCCCCTTCCTCAGGATCATCTTCTCCACTCCCCTGGCCATCATTGCCTACTTCCTCATCTGGTTCGTGCCTGACTTCCCACTAGGGATGGAAAGGTCGTATGGGTTCCTTTGGTACCTGCTTTTCTACTGCCTCTTTGAGACGCTGGTCACGGTGAGTGTAGGTACCTTGGTGAGGGGCAGGAGTCGAGGGTGAGCCCTGGGGCCTCTGCATGTCTCTCCATCCATCTAACTGGCCGAGAGCTTCTCTTCTGCAACAGTGTTTCCACGTTCCCTACTCCGCTCTCACCATGTTCATCAGCACAGATCAGAGTGAGCGAGACTCCGCTACGGCCTACAGTGAGTCCCTTCCCCATCACCTTAGCCCCGTCCACAGCGGGGCCCTGGACCGCTCTACTCCTAGCCCACCACCACAGACACCTTGTACTTTGTGGGCCCGCTCTTTGCTCTACTCATGTGTGTGCCTGGGAAGGTGGGGGAGGCAAACCCCCCTCCTGCCGTCCCTTGTCTCTTTGATGCTGGGGATTGATCCCAGAACCTTGTCTCTACTAAGCAGTCACTTAACCATTGAATTATATCCCTCAACCTATGAAAACATATTAAAAAAAATAACTCAATCCCTTTATTGCTCAAGTGAGACTCAGGGATACAGGGACTGTTCTGAAGGTTACACAGAGAGAGGCCATGAATGTAGGTTGAAATGTCATCACCCTGTCCCCTAGCCCAATTGACCTGGAGCCACCAGTGGCTCCCATATGACCTTCTTTCCTGGGTCCACGGGCCCTGAGGCACATCCAAAAAGACGCTTTTCTTGTGTAGGGATGACTGTGGAGGTGCTGGGTACAGTGATAGGAACGGCGATCCAAGGACAAATTGTGGGCCAAGCCAAAGCACCTTGCCTCCAGGACCAGAACGACTCTGCAGTGGCCTTAGAAGCTGTCAATCGTACACAGAGCACCGGCTCCCTTAAAGAAACGGTGAGGCCCCTGGCTGGGCAGGGCTTTGTTGGGGAGAACAAATGGGGGCACTTTGCAGTTATTCTAAAAGTAGTAATAGTAGCTAGTGTTTACCAATTAGTGGGCATCTGGTAAATGTAAATATTAGTCCGTACATATACCCACTTTATAGACAAGGAACGTGAAGCCTGGGAGGCTGAGTAACTCGTCTGGGGTCCCAGCGAGTTGCAGAGATGGGGGGAAGACTTGGGCTGTGGGCTCACACACTACGTAGTCTGGCCGTGTAACATTTTGTATACTTGGACTTAGCCCAGCCTTGGGAAGCAGCAGCAGGTCCAGGATGACCCCCCCTGGTCCACAGATGGAGACAGTGAGGCCCCCACAGGAGAAAGGCCTGGCCTGAGATCGTGGAGTGGGGCTGCTGGGCTGAGATCAGACTGACCCTGTCTCTGTATGTCATAGCAAAATGCATACCTGCTGGCAGCAGGCATCATTGCCTCCATCTACGTCATCTGCGCCATCATTCTGGTTCTAGGCGTGCGGGAGCAGAGAGGTGAGAGGCGTCCTGCGGAGGGCTCAGCCCACAGCCCAGGGAGCAGTAGTCCCCTTCTGCCTGGTCTTCAGGCTTTGGGAGGGACCTCTACTCCCTCCTCATTATCCTTTCTGATCCCCAGAGCCCTATGAGGCCCAGCAGGCCGAGTCGATGCCCTTCTTTCAGGGCCTCCGGCTGGTCATGAGTCACGGCCCCTATGTCAAGCTCATCGCGGGCTTTCTTTTCACCTCCCTGGCGTTCATGGTGAGTGAGGCCTGAGATGCTCATCCTGAGGGGAGGTCTAATAGGATGGGGTTGGAGAAGATTTGGATTGGGGTGAGGCTGAGGGGCAGGCAGGAGGGAGTGGGACACATCGAGGACTCTGGAATCTCCAAGTCACCTTCTCTCTTTCATTTCCTTGTCCTGCCCCTTCCCCCAGCTGGTGGAGGGCAACTTTGCCTTATTCTGTACCTATACCTTGGGCTTCCGAAATGAGTTCCAGAACCTCCTCCTGGCCATCATGGTGCGTACAGGGCGTATGGTACTGATGAATGGGTATTTGGACAGTTAGAGGATACTTTCAGGCTGGTCCCTAGTCATGATGGGATGAGGGAGGTTTCCCTGGATCTCACCTACAATCACTTAGAGATGGTTATAAAATGAGGCTTTGAGTCCGAATGGTTATGGTGCCCAGTACAGCAAAGACAAGGATGCCAGCAACTTAGTGCAGCTTTGCACTCATATTTATGAAAAGTCGGGAGGATGGCTTGCTCTCAGCTCCCACAGGAAGCTGTCAGACATGCCTGTCAACTTCCTCACTGCTGACCTGGGAGCATCTTTGGGGGCCTCTGCAGCAATAAGCCACCTGCCTCACCTTTTCTGTCACTCACAGCTCTCGGCCACATTCACCATTCCCATCTGGCAGTGGTTCCTAACCCGGTTTGGCAAGAAGACAGCTGTCTATGTTGGGATCTCAGTGAGTGGGGCTCAAGGGGTAGAGTTTGGGTTAGGTGGTGGTGGGGTTACATAGGGAGCCTCCTAGGTAACCCATGTTCCTCATTCTCTGTCCCAGTCAGCAGTTCCTTTTCTCATCCTGGTGGCCCTTATGGAGAGCAATCTCACCGTCACTTACGTGGTGGCCATAGCAGCTGGTGTCAGCGTAGCAGCTGCCTTCTTACTACCCTGGTAGGTATATACGGGCTCACTGAGTTTATGCCCCAGCCAGCATTCTGGGGACTGTGCTCTGCTGGCTTCTCCCCCTGTTCTTCTATGGGTCTGGGATGAGGCGGGTCTGCAAGCTCCCAGAAGGCTAGGTGGGGGTCACTCATGTCTGCCGCCACTCACTCTGCGTAGGTCCATGCTGCCTGACGTCATTGATGACTTCCACCTGAAGCACCCTCACTCCCCTGGCACCGAGCCCATCTTCTTTTCCTTCTATGTCTTCTTCACCAAGTTTGCCTCTGGAGTCTCCCTTGGTGTCTCTACCCTCAGTCTTGAGTGAGTGGCCTGTGAGTCTTGGGCAAGATTGGGGACAGGGTCAAGGTCCAGGCACTCCATCCTCACCACTCCTTGCCCACTGGGTCCCACAGCTTTGCCAAGTACAAGAAGCAGGGCTGCTTCCAGCCGGAACAGGTCAAGTTTACACTGAAGATGCTGGTGACGATGGCGCCCATCATCCTCATCCTCCTGGGCTTGCTGCTCTTCAAGCTGTACCCCATCGATGAGGAGAAGCGGCGACAGAATAAGAAAGCACTACAGGCTCTACGGTGAGCGCTGGGGAGGGTGTGTGTGCGTGTGCACGCGTGTGTGTGCACGCGTGTGTGTGCACGCGTGTGTGTGCACGCGTGTGCGCGCGAGCCAGTCTAAGTTCTCAACTTATGTCACTGGTGGATGGGTCCAGATAATTCTTAATTACATGCTGGGTACTACACTGACTGCCTTTGTATGTAGTTACTCAACAAGCAACACTTTCTGAATGCCAGCATTGTGTTAGGAAAACCCAAATCAAACCAAACCAAACAGAGAAAGGCCAGGCCTGGTGACACACGCCTTTAATTAACAGAACTCTAGGCGGCAGAGGCAGGTGGATCTTTATGAGTCTGAGGCTAGCCTGGTCTATGTAGCGAGTTCCAGGACAGCCAAGGCTATGTAGAGAGACCCTGTCGCTCAAACCAAACAAAACTTCCTGTCTTGAAGGAGCTTGTGTTTAGAAGTGTACTTCCAGCACCCCATCCCTACCCACCACCTTCTAACAAACCCATTCCTAGGCAGCTGAGTTGGTTTGTTTGTTTGCTTTGAGGCAGGGTTTTGTTTATTTAGCTCAGGCTGGCATCAAACAAGTTGCGTTGCCAAGGCTAACCTGGCCCTGCCTTCTAGGTGCTGATATGACAGCCACTCCCATGGCAAGATTCTTACGATTCCTATCCTGCAGATGAAGGGAATTGAAGCTGAGCCAGAAAATGTGGATAAGGCTTTGAGCCCTGCCCTGTGTTCTAGTTGCAGCCTGTACTCTGGTGCCCTCCTGGCATACAGGCCCTCCGGCGTGGCCAGAAATGATAGGGCAAGGTGGAGTGACTCATGCCACCATGCCAGCCAGCCAGAGCCAGTGGCTCTCTGAGGTCTGCAGTGCCCTTCGCTCGGCAGGAAGAGGCACCAGACGTTTCCAGGCCGACAGTGGGAGTGAGTAAACTCCCACGGTGTACACAAGACTGACAGCTGACTTGGACTCGGGGGCCAAGTTTCCTAAGGCAGGTGTCAGCAGAGGAGGGTCAAGACGCTTGGCCTAACCTGTCTTTTCTGTTGCAGAGACGAAGCCAGCAGCTCAGGTTGCTCTGACACAGACTCCACAGAGCTGGCCAGCATTCTCTAGGACCTGCCATACATCACCTGAAGCTACCACACAAAGGACCCGGGGCACCAGGCAGCATGAGGCACGGAATCTTTTTGTCCTTACACTGAGCAGCTGTTCTTCCTGTGTCAAGACAGGGACCAAGGACTGGATGGAGGGTGAGCGGTCCGGGACATCTGTGCTCACTGAAAGGCTGGTCGCTCTGCAACCTCCTCACTGCCTGCCCACAGGGCCAAGCCCAAGGGCCGCAACTGTGAATATGTCAAGGACTGACTGGGCCTAGCTCAGAACCCTAATGTAGAAACGTTTTATACAGAGACTAATTAATAACTTAATGACTATGTACATAGTGATGTGTGTATGTATATGTCTGTGAGCTATTAATGTTATTAATTTTCATAAAAACTGGACAACAAAGCTGCCTGCTTCCATCTCTTTTTTTTAAAAAAATGGTTTATTTAACTTTATTTTATGTGCATTGGTGTGAAGGTGTCAGATCCCCTGCAACTAAATCTTCAGACAATTGTGAGCTGCCACGTGGGTGCTGGGAATTGAACCCGGGTCCTCTGGAAGAGCAGTCAGTGCTCTTAATCACTGAGCCATCTCTCCAGCCCCTCCATCTCTGTTCTTAACCATCCATGGAGTAGGCCTGGCGGTGGTGGCACATGCCTTTAATCCCAGCACTCGGGAGGAAGAGGCAGGCGGATCTTTGTGAGTTCGAGGCCAGCCTGGTCTACAAGAGCTAGTTCCAGGACAGGCTCTAAAGCTACAGAGAAACCCTGTCTCGAAAAAAAAAGAAAAATCTTAACCATCCATGGAGTCCTTTGTTGTGACCCAGATAGTCCATGGGCTCACAAAGCCACGGGTGCCAGGGAAATGGGACAGTGTGCCTGAGGGCATGGTAGCAGCCTTGACTGACATTTACTCTGTCCCAGGTGCCTTATGCTGGCTTGGCACACGGTTCGTTGTGATCTTGTTGGACCTGTGGAGCCCTTGTGTCATGGCAGGACTTGTCCCTGTCTTAAAAGAAGAAACCCAAGCTCTAGCATTAAAAGGGATGTGACTAAAGCCACACGGCAAAGAATGGCGTCAGTGCTGCTCCGTGTCATCTCTGTGAGCCTCTTAGCACTTTAGCCACTGCTCCCCGTGTCCCCATGTGTGAAAAATCACACATGTGTCCGTCACCACGTGTATACCCGAGCTTGTGGGGCTAGGTGTATTAGTTGTGGGTCAGTAGTGTCCCTGGAGACTTCCCATAACTGTTGTCAGTCATGCTGGAGGTGGAGACTATTTGTGTCCAGGTGTGGGTGTCGGGTAGTGGCGAGTCTGGTGGGGGAAGGCCTGGTTAAAGTCCCATTCCTGCAGTGTAACCAATTCAAGTTACTCTTGCTTGTACCATCTTGAAAGTTCCTGAGAAGTGAATAGTTGGCTCTTCCAAGTACGCAAGGGTTACCCTACCATACCACTGGGTTGCATACACCCAAGTCAGTCTCTGAAAACACAGGAGTAAAGCTGGCAACACCCTAAGGGAAGTGTTGGGACTGATTTGTCCTTGAATTCGGGGTCTGTGGTTATGGATAAACAGGATAATTTTCATAAAGTGTTTATTTCTTTTTCTTTTCTTTTGGTTTTTCAAAACAGGGTTTCTCTGAAGCTTTGGAGCCTGTCCTAGAACTAGCTCTTGTAGACCAGGCTGCCTTGAACTCACAGAGATCCGCCTGCCTTTGCCTCCACAGTGCTGGGATTAAAGGCATGCGCCACCAACGCCTGGCTTTATAAAGTGTTTCTAATAGGCACTGTTATATATGTTCATACATACTAATTCATTTAGTCATGAGTTCCCGACAAGGAAGGTGTTGCTATTATTCTGGTTTTACAGATAAGGAAGCCAAGGCATGGGGAAGCTAAGTGATTGACAAAGGTCATTAGTAAGTGGGTGGGGTTGATTTAAGTCCACTGTTTGGCTGTAGGCCCCAACGTCTGTCACCAGTCACATTAATGGTGACAAGTTCTATCCTACTAGACCAATCTCACAGCCTTTGAAATAACTGTCATCTTCAGTCAGAGGCTCCCTAACAAGACAGGAGCCACAGGGCCAACTGGAGTACTCAGGGATTTTTTTTTTCTCCCTCCCTGGCTGCTCAGGGATTTTTATAGTGTTTACAAAGACCCACTCCTGTTTTCTCTTCCCTCAATTCTACCCAGTAGCCACTAAGGCTTGTCTGTCTTTTCTATTTTCGATTTTTTGGTACCCCTGGGGATCAAACTCAGGACTCCACTCAAGCTAGCAAATGCTCTACCACTGAACCACACCCCATAGCCTAAGGCTCATCTTTAAAACAACAGCAATAATAAGAGCTACTATTATCATTATTACTTGGGGCCCTGCGAATAGTTCAGCAGTACAGTGCTTGGCTGCCACACAGGAGGCCCTGTGTTCAATCACCAGCGCTGCAAGACGGAAAATCACAAAACTGAAATTTGTAAGCCTGCTCCTTTGCTATTGCTGCAATCACTTCTCGGACCTCTTCTCACCCCGGTCTTGATGCACGCGCTCCCTGGGGATCTCTGCGGCCCTGCCACCTCCCCGGCCTGAGATTTGACTCCTTTCTTTAGCCCACCTCTTGATCCAAGATACTCTCCTGCCTCAGCTCTGCTACCTGCAGTGCTCGCCCAACAGGTTCCAGCAAGTCTCCCTCCGCGAGGCAGTTCTGGCACCTCCGCTTCTCAAGCCAGCTGTCCAGCCTTGCCTCCCTTACCGTGCATGTGTGCGTGCGTGCGTGGTCTCTCACACACAGCCCGTGGCTAAGAATGGGAGGGTGGGTGTGCGAACTGGATGAATGAGAGCTGACTGGAGAATGCAGAGGTTAAAAGGCCAGACCTGGTTCCTACGGGCCCTCTAATTTGCTCCTGTCTGGGTATTTCCGCAAATGTCCTATGAAGATTTAAACTGACAACCGGTGCCCCTCTTCAGTTCTGTGCTCACAGAAAAGTACCACGCTCTTTAAAAGCCTCTTCTATATTCACAGAAGTGACTCGGCTGGATACCGGATACAGAACCTAGTGAAAGAGGGAAAGTCATCTAGGATTCCAGAAAGCCTTAATTATTCCAGAAATTTCACTAATGGCCTTTAGGGGCACTGACTACCCAGGCCCCTCTAGAGCCCTCACAATTCCGCTCTCACGCTTCCTCATCCATCGGAAGACATGCTATTTGTCTTTCATCAGTCTGGATCCCGCATTACTGCAGCCACCACGGTCTTGGCCCAGGTCCTAGCCCTCAACTATTTACATCCCCCTATCCGGCACCAACTCCCACCACTTCAGAGGACCAGGTGTGCTCTTGGCGCCACCTACTGGGATATTAGGACAAGACGGCCACATTGTTTAAAAAAAAATACAGGTCATTGATCTGAAATAGTATTCCGTATTTACAGGGAGTCTGCCGTATGTAACGCACCTGCAGGCTCTAAAAACATTGGTGGACAGGCACAGAGCTTGAATTCTTGGTGGAGTAACACATAATCTCAGGACGTAAGGCCGGCAGGATGGCTAAATGGGTAAAGGGTCTCATTGCCAAGCCTGGCCTGAGTTTGATCCTCAGGAACCACATGGTGGAAGAAGGGACCTGATTGTCACACGTTGTCCTCGGTCCTCCACATATGTGTGCCATGGTGTGTGTCCCTCACAGTACACATTAACAAACTGACGAATTAAAAATAAAATGAAATCCACAATTCTAGAGGCAAGAGAGATAGATGGCTTAGCAGTTAGGAGCGCTTGCTGCTTTCCCGAGGACCTAGGTTAGTCCCAGCACCCACAGGATCCACTGCCCTCTTCTGGACTATCAGGACCTGAACACATGTGGTATTCACACACACACACACACACACACACACACACACACACACGTCCAAATTAAGAAAAATAAATCTTTAGCTGGGTGTTGTGACACATGTCTTTAATCTCAGCATTCAGGAGGCAGAGGCAGGCGAATCTCTGTGAGTTCAAGACCAGCCTGAACTACACGTTCAGCCTGGAACTACACGAGCTAGTTCCAGAATAGGCTCCAAAACTGTAGAGAAACCCTGTCTCGAAAAAAAAAAAAACCAAAACAAAACAAAACAAAAAAAAACCAAAAACAGTGGGGACACAAAGCCCCGTCCACGCCTTCTTATGGGGCAGGGTAGTGACACACAGCTTACAGTGGGGACACAAAGCCCCGTCCATGCCTTCTTATAGGACAGGGTAGTGACACACAGCTTACAGTGGGGACACAAAACCCCATCCATGCCTTCTTATAGGACAGGGTAGTGACACACAGCTTACAGTGTGGACACAAAGCCCCGTCCATGCCTTCTTATGGAACAGGGTAGTGACACACAGCTTACAGTGGAGACACAAAACCCCATCCACGCCTTCTTATGGGGCAGGGTAGTGACACACTACCTTCGGAGACCTGCGGCGTGGGCTCATGCACCGTCCCTGCCTGGGACTGGCTGCTCTCAGGACCCGCTGCCCCCTGCCTGCCACCGCATGTCCCACTGCCTGTCGCCACTGCTCGGGGACCTGCAGTGTTTCTGCCACTGTAGCTACTCGGGATCCCGCAGCATTTTATTTTTCCCATTACACCGAGGACTATGAAACTTGTGTTTAGTACAAGTAACTAAAATCTTTCTCCTTTCCTTACCTAGTAAGACTTGTATGCAAACATTTTACTCCCTGTTAGCCCTTAAAGCTCCTGTCGCATTCCAGGAACTTGATGGCCCAGAGCAGTGACCCCTTCCTCTTCCTCAGAGATCCCTTTCCCTTCTTCCTTCATTTCCTGTTCTTTTTGGACTAGCCAATTGGATAAGACTGTGAAGTGGATGACAGCCAATGGGAAAAAGACACAGTTCCGCCCTGAGTTTGCTCTCTTGACCAGGAGTAAAGTTTTCCTTGTCCACACACTGCAGTTGGAATTGTGGTCTCTTTTATTTCGATCCCAAACTTATTTCTAGGGGGAGACTCAAGGAGGCAAGAGTAGAAGAAAAGAAAGCAGGAAAACTCAAAATATAGATATATACTTTAATTTTTAGAAAGATGACACTGATCATGGTATGTGTGTGTGTGTGTGTGTGTGTGTGTGTGTGTGTACGTATGTGACATGAGAGGGCACACTTGCTTTACCTGCTCAAGCATCTCACAAGGCTAAGTAGGAAGACTTTTTTTTTTTTTTTTTAATGAAGAAGCTGTTTGTGTAATGTTCCCAGAATGAATGAAGTTCTGAACATGCCACCTGGGTGCTGGCAGGAGAGAAGAGAGAGGATGGCTTGGCAGCGCGTTAGCCTGGAACAGATGGAGGGAGCGAAGAGAGAGGGAAGAAGAGGGGAAAATGGTGCCCAGAGTTTCAACTCGGGAAACAGTGAGTGACACTCCTTTTTGGCAACAC